TTCCCGACCTCACCCTGTTCCCGACCTCACCCTGTTCCCGGCCTCTCTCTGTTCCCGACCTCACCCTGTTCCCGGCCTCTCTCTGTTCCCGGCCTCTCTCTGTTCCTGGCCTCTCTCTGTCCCTGGCCTCACGTTGTTCCCCACCTCACCCTGTTCCCAGCCTCTCTCTGTTCCCGACCTCTCCTTGTTCCCGGCCTCTCCTTGTTCCCGGCCTCTCTCTGTTCCCGACCTCTCTCTGTCTCTGGCCTCACCTTGTTCCCAACCTCACCCTGTTCCTGGCCTCTCTCTGTTCCTGACCTCACCCTGTTCCCAACCTCAAGCCCTGAGCACTGACCTGGAAGGGGGTGTTGATGCGGCAGACCAGTATGTCCAGGACGTGCACACCCTCATGCCTGTGCAGAAGGATGAAGTGCAGGAAGGTCCGCAGCAGCGCCGGCTGCTTGGCCCGCCGCAGGAACAGCTCCAGGTAGCCTGTGGTGGTCACCACCTCCTCGAGGGTCGGCTGCAGCCACGGCAGAGAGCTGTGAGGGGGAGCAGGGTGCTACGGGGTACAAAGCTCCAGGTTTCTCACATAAGGAACATGTCCTGACCTTGTGCAGAGCTGGTGCCACCACAGGGACAAGAAAGCCGTTGTAGATGTAGCTGACCAGCTGGCTCCTGATCAAAGGGTGGGCAACCTGGAAGCACAGCAGGGGTCAGCGGGGAGCTGTGAGGAGCAGTGCCTGATTTTGGAGGGAGCGTGCGGGGCTGCTGAGGCCCACCTGGATGACAGAGTCGCAGAACTCCAGTGAGTTGAGGAACTGGACCAGTGCAGGCAGTGCGAAGCAGTCCTGGGGCTCTAGCCAGTGCCAGTCTTCAGTGCACACCTCCAGCCGGGCGGGCAGGGAGGAATAGAGACCGCTAAGCCCCGTCGCCAGCACCTGGGGTGGGGGGGGCACAGAAAACAGGCCTGGGCTCACACAACACTCTTTGCAAGCATGCAAAGAGAAACTGCTTGGGCCCTGTGGATTTAATCCCTCAGCCAGCCGGCGGTGAAGCTGGCCTAGGGCACCATCTTCTGAGGGGGCGCTGACTTAGCCAGCTGATTTCACTTTGTCTCAGACAGGGGGCGCTGGTGGTGAAGCTGGCCTAGGGCACCATCTTCTGAGGGGGCGCCGACTTAGCCAGCCGATATCACTTTGTCTCAGACAGGGGGCACCGGCGGTGAAGCTGGTCTAGGGCGCCACATGGCCTTTGACTAGCCTTATGTAGAAACCCACCGGAGTATCAACAAGCTATTTAAAGCCCAGGAAATAATTTTAAAATGACTTATTGAAGTGTTATTTGCCATCTATGATGCCTGTAAAGATGGTTTCAGTTGCAACAAATGGAAATCTGACACTTCAAAGGCGCAAATAATATTTTGTTGGCAGTTCAGGTTTCCAGAACAGAAAACGTTGTTTCCAGCGCCCCCTGCAGATCATATTATGCGTGAAGCCGCCTACAAAGGGCTTCATTGACAACAGAGCGGCGCCGGTGAGCATCCTTTCCAAGATGACCGAGCCACAGCTGTCATGGGCTGTGATATAAGAGGATTTCAGGGGATGAAACTATCACACAATCCAATGGAGTGACGTTACCAGAGCAACGGGGCTATTCGCAGGCTGATCCGTGATTGGCTAAGGGAGACCTTTAGCCTTAAAAACAGGATAAGAATCATTTCCACAATCCCCTGTTTGTCTGCTTGGAAAAGACAAGAAAAAAAAGAATATCTGGCTTACTACTCTATGAAGACAAGATTTGATTTTACATCCAGGCATATCATAAACTATCCATATGTTTGTACATTACCGTCTACTTTGATATTTGGTTCTATTTATTTTGGGTTATTTCAGACCTACCAAGTCTCGTGCATTTCGTGGGAGTCTCGTGCATTTCAAGGAAGTCTCGTGCATTTCAAGGGAGTCTCGCGCATATCGAGGGAGTCTCGCACATTTGGAATGACTCGCCCTCTCTCCCACAAGCCCTCTGTTCTCTCACACACCCTAAAAAAAAATTTAAGTTTTACTGCATTTCTCTATCACAGCTACCTGACACAGTGATCTACTGGTTAAGCTTTTCAAATTCGGCTGAAAAAGATGGCCTGAAATCTAGTTTGAAAGAAAAATCTTCAACAATAAGAAATATTTGGACATTTCAGAAGCTCTCCTTCTCCTTCAAAAACACCCTTGGCAGGTCGATTATTTCATCTTTTCATGGTATTATAATATATCCAACAGATAAATATATGTGTGGTACTTATCTCTTCTGCCATGTATATTGATAGATACGCAGTATATTTGAGACTTTGATGGCGGTACCTGTGTGCCCCAGTAACCGTCAGCACAGGTACCAGTCAGACGCAGATGAAGATGGACCATATTACCGCCATCAGGCAGCCTCTCTCAGCCTACTCTGACCCCCCAACCCGGACAGATGCTTCACTGCCCCCCCTCCATTCTCTGCTATATTTTCACAATATTCAGCATCCCCCAGCTTTCACTTCAAAGCACGACAGGACAGCAAAATGGAAATAAATTAGCCATAAGCAGAGCATCTTCAAGGGTAGCGGCATGGTGGTACAGTGGGGGCCGCCTTGGCCGGGGGACCATGGTAACCGTGCGGTAAACCGTGTGGCAAAGCGCGCGTGGAATGAGGGCGGTCAGAGAACACGCACACACACACACGGCTGTGTTCACGAGCAGCTCCCAGCATTTATACCAGTCACTCAGCTCTTTGTCCTGCAGACACTATGTATTCTTACAGTAAACATTCACTGAGCTGAATTTATTATAGTTTGCAGAACACCTGGCACATTAATTAGCAATTAAAACTCTCTGCATGGCTTTCCAATCGGTTCCATTAATTATTGGGACTGAAAGCTTATTTTGCCTCTAATAGCTGGAGGAAAATTATATATAATGCGAAATGCGAAAATTATATTATATAACGCAAGCTGGTTAAGGGTGTACAGTACATGAAGTGTCCACGTCGGTTGTGCGTTAATAACTGGTTTGGATGGGAACTAAAAAGGACCAAAAAAGCAGGTCATCTGTGACCCAGACGTATCGTAGGAGAGAGAGATGGGAGCCAGTGCTGTGGATCAGACCTCCTGCAACCCGCAAGAGGTACGGCCATCAGCTGGACAAAGCAGGGAGAGAGGGGGAAGCTGGGCCGGCAGGTAGCCGGAAGGGGGTCGGGTTCACATCCCAGAGGTACGTAACCTGATTAGATCTGGAGAAAATACCCACCTGTCTAAATGGGTAGGTTGTTGCTAAGCGGCAGCGGTCAGAACACGTAGGCCTCGGCATGAGAAGGTGGGACACACTGTCCTGTCCGGTTACCGAGAAGCAGTTTAAGAGCAGTGTTTGGGCTGCTGAGCTTGAAACCTAAATCCTCCTGTAAAACGTACAGCTGTAGCAACAAGTCAGCCTGTGGGGGGCAGCATGGGACACTCACCGGGCAGAAGTAGGTGTTCTCCGCTATGTACCGGGCCACGAGCCGGTTCTCGGCGGACAGCGCCGCGATGAAGAGGAGGGCTTCGCGTGCCTGCCGGCCCACGGCGCCCTCGCGGTGGGTGAAGGGGATGAGCAGGGAGAAGATGAGGAAGTTGGCGGCGCCCTGGTCCTCGCTGGCGTGGAAGAACAGCTCCAGGATGGAGGGCTCGCGGGCCAGGATGGAGCAGAGCCGGCCCAGGAGGAGCAGCAGCTGGGCCTCGACTGCGGCGGCGGCTCCGGGCCCCGAGCAGGAGGCCAGCAGCATCATGAGGGGCCGCAGCACCGGCTTGTGGCGGAGCAGTGGCTGGCGGCAACGCCGCACCAGCATCTCGTACGTGCGCAGCTGCTCCAGCTTCATGTCGTCGGTGAACTCGCACTGCAGGCTCCATATGAAGAGGCGCTCCATCACGTTCTCCGTCACCACGAGCTCCAGGATGGGGCCCATGGTGCCGCCCGGCCCGCCGCACTCCTCCATCAGCAGGAACAGCATGTGCTCCACGTAGTTCTGCACCGCGCTGGCCTCGTCCCCTGGGATGGGCCCCAGGCGCCGACCCCTGGCCACGCGCAGTGGGTCATGCTTCTCCAGGATCTTCTCCACCTGAGAGAAGAGCAGGACATGAGGCCTGGACTGACCGCTGAGGGTGAATGTGGGAAACGACTGCACAGAGCAACCGCAGAGCGAGCACAGAGTGACCACAGAGCGACCAAAGACTGATGATAGGGTGAGCACAGACTGACCACAGAGTGAGCACAGACTGACCACAGAGTGAGCACAGACTGACCGCAGAGTGAGCACAGACTGACCGCAGAGTGAGCACAGACTGACCACAGAGCGACCAAAGACTGACGATAGGGTGAGCACAGACTGACCACAGAGCGACCAAAGACTGACGATAGGGTGAGCACAAAGTGAGCACAGACTGACCAGAGCGACCACAGACAGACCACAGAGTGACCACATACTGACCACAAAGCAACCACAAACTGAGCAGAAAGTGACTACTTACTGACCACAGACTGACCACACAGTGACCAGAAAGCAACCATAGCCTGACCACAGAGTGACCAGTGAATATATATCTGTAATAGAGCAGATCACACTCATAGCCGGTAAAAGCCCCATCCGTACCCCTAAAAACCTGCATCTCACTGTGCACCTGACAGACTTATTAAAAATGATGCAGAAATACATGAACAAAAAATGTGGGTGGTCTGTGATTTTGGCTGTCCTTTTCTAAAACTGCGAGATAAAAATACAATTTTTAAATATCGGAGCTGGTATCCGGGGCAAATTTATTCATTGGATTCATTATGTTCCATAAATAAAAGCTGCCCCACAATATGCTTCTTAATTAACTGTTATGGCCAAATACCGACCTGCAGACTTTACATTTGAAATAACAACATTCAATAACACAATTCATGGGAAACGCTTCATATTCACTGTAGCGTAAAATCGGCTGCACATTCCCTTTGCTCCCTGGTTTGTAGACAGGAAATCAGACCTGTGATATAATGTGACTATAACTTTTAAGCATAACGCCAAAAACTTATCAGTCTCATACGAAATATAGCAATAAACACATAAACCATACTGCTGCCTACTAGATTAAAGCACTACAATATCTGTCGTAATGACGGGATCTGTATCATAATCCCATGAACATTAATACTTCCCCGGTAATAAATTCCTGTGAATTACCCAGAATCCTGCGGGGCAAAATCCTGCCAGCTCCCTAACACTGCCTCTCCAGTGTGTCAGTTTCCGTGTCAGTGCTTCAGAAACTGAACGTAATTCTGCGGATTAATTTCAGGCTTTGACTCCACCGTCTGCTTCAGAGACAGAACAAAACAGAACTCTGTGTGCGTGTGTGTGTGTGTGGGTCCAGTACCAGGGAGGGGGCGCCTGGGTGGGGAGGCCTGTATCCCTCCTACAGTCACTGAATCGGAGCGGGAGCTGCAGGCAGCCGTTATGAGGTGGAAGTAGGACATTCAGAGACATTCCAGACCGACCCAGAACCCTATAAACCCGGGTTATATAACCTTAATCTGCATTAATGAGCAGTATGTCTGTGTGTGTGTGTGTGTGTGTGGGTGTGGGTGGGGAGGGAGGGAGGTTCCTGACTGGCACGCACCTGGGCCCAGTGGTTCTGAAACACCATCATGCATGTTTCCGGATCCACCCCCGTCAGGTTCAGGGGCTGCTGCTCCCGGTTACCAGTGGCGACCATCATCTCGGCTGCTCCCCTTCACTGCCTACGCCATGGCAGGGCGCAGGAGCAATGCTCAGCGGCGCCCCCAGGTGGGCATGGGCGTCGCCGCCACGGTGTGTCCAAGCCTGCGGGAATTCATGGAGAGGTGCGGGACTGGGCACTGGACCGGGCTGTAGTCAGAACCAGACTGAAACCTTACAGACCTCTACTGCATCACAGTGTGCAAGCACCTGGATAAGCCGTTAGAAAATGGATGGATGGATGGACGGAGATAGTATAATGAAAGAGCTGCCCCAGCAAAGAGGAATCGATCTCTGGTGAGTTTCACCATAGGGCTCCTCCAGAACAGTGTCCTGCCAGCCCTCTGTGATGCCCGCCAGCTGTTCTGCACCAGAGCATGAGGTATGTGTGCCCAGGGCATGTGCTCCATTACACACGGCTAATTGCACACGCTGTGACATCAGCCTCGCCAGTCTGTGGCGTCACCGAGCTTCTCTGACCTGGTTTCCGTCATCTGCTGCCATCGTCATGTCCAGCCGGATTTCCCACAATGCCAAGGTACTGCCGTGACTCCAGCGACAGGCCGGACTCAGTGACTCTGACTCCCATCGGCCAATAACTAATTAACAGTGTGGAGTATGTTGCTGTGTCGCTCCCCTCGTGTCGAATCTCAGCTACTGAATGTTCATCCAGCGCCTGCTGGGTTCTATGGCCCCGGGTTTGAGCATGCGGGTGATCATTCTCAGTGTGTCTGTAACTCAGCTCTGCGTGATGCGGGGGGGAGGCCCCTCTACCTGAGTGCAGGGTCACCCCCCACCTTTGTTTTGCCTGTTTAATCCATCCATCCAGACAAGTTTTGTCCAAAGTCCATGTGATGTATCATAAAACGAAGCTGCATGAGAGGCACCCCATGTGAGGGAGGTGGGCATGTGACTGTGCTTGTGAGCAGAAGGTTACTGGTTCAAATCCTAGGGTCAGCAGTGGATTTTAACTCTGGCCATTTGAGAAAGGCCTTTAATCCCCAATTGCTTTGGCAGCTGTCTGGTCCTACGTTGGACAGAAGTCCCCGCTATGTAACAGAAATGCATGGGAACTGGTCCATCCTCTAGTGAATGTGCTTAAAATTCTCACCTCTCATGGATCATGGCTGCAGGAAGGAACTCCTTATTCATTAGGACATTTTGGGCACAGCGAAGAGAATCTGTAGAGGAACAGAGAGATTAAGCTGTCTGGTGAAAAGTGCTGTTCAGGTTTCATCATTAGAGCTTTCCGGAAGCCAAGGATGGGACCTGGGGTCGTACAGGGCTGAAAAAGGGCCTTTTATTTTCCCATTCAGAAAACCAGTACCATGCAGCAAGTCTTCTGTGTCTGGGTGTAAAGAGAGAATAGCCTCAGACCTCTGTCTACAGCTCTGATACACAATTGCCTTTGCACCAAATCGAACCCTGTAAGAACCCTACACGAACCCTGCAAGAACTCTTCAGGAATTCTGCTAGAACCCTGCAAGAACCCTACACGAACCCTGCAAGAATCCTACACGAACCCTGCAGGAACTCTGCAAGAACCCTGCCATTCATTTAGCTTGATTCTGTGAGGTTCTCGAGTCACTTGTCAGCATCTTTCCGTGCACTATGACACAGCTGAGAGGAGATAGACATTGAGGGCACTCTACCACCTCCCGGAGCTTTCAGTGATGATGGATTCCCTGAATATCCACCTGAGATCACCCTCGTGTCCACACAAGGTTCTCAGAAGATGTTACAATTTCGTCTGTGAAGTGGGTCAGTGGAGAAGTAGGACCGTAAAGGTGACGGCTGACTGAGCAGCGGCGTAACCTGAGAGACAGCTTCAGTGGTCGTGTCCTTCAGCTTCAGTGGATGTATCCTTCAGCTTCAGCGAACGTGTCCTACACAGGGTCACTGTGGGGCCACTAAGCAAATACGTAATATCTGCGTTAAAATTTGAAATGTACTACTGATGTATTGCTGGTAGAACACTGACTGAAAGATGGGCGGCAGCGGAAAAGTCATGTGACAACCCCATCCAATCATGTAGCCTGTGCCTTGGCACTGCTTTGGGCTCTCATTCCCCTGAAAATGCACCCAGACCCTGAAGCCCATCCCAGGACCCAAACGCTCTTCATTTTCTTAATTGTTTCCTTTGTGCTGATTCCGAAATGTCTGTCTTTTCATTTTTTCACTCCCAATGGCACGGTGAACCTGCTCACCACTCTACTTGGATCGACTCCTACATCTATATATCTGCACTGTAACTGATGGTGATGATGACGGTGATGAAGACGATGATATCGATGATGATTTTCAGTGGCCATGCAGGAGCTACCTGCTGCGTCTGCTGGAGGACATCTACATGGCGTTCGCACCAGTCCAGGACTGACATACTCAGTACCGAGCAGAGAAGGGGCCGCCCTGACAGGTCTCCTCAGCGCCTCTGCCCAGTGCCTGAGACTGTAACAAACAAGTCGTACATGCGGAGATGTCTTGGTGCCTCTCTGAAGCCACCAGCTCTCCAAATAAACCCATGTTTTAGTTATGCAGTCACTTTCTCTTTCTGAAAACACACGTGGCTGTGTCACCAAATGCTCCCTGTGTGCTTGAGCTCTGACTCTGGCATTCCTGCAGACACACTAGGCACTGTTACTACAGTGACAGGACTGAAACAGAGTGATCAACCTGCTCAGTCCACTTCGTAGGAGTTCCGAGGTCCTGTTGGGACCCAAATATTTCCGCCATTCATAACTCCAGGATGAAAGCACTTATTTAAGTAACAGGACAGGTGGGTTAATTAGAGACTGTGCTGCTGCCCTGTGGGGCTTTGAGTGGTGAAATCATTCCTCCCTGATGCTCTGCTGCACCTGACCTGGCTTAATGACACTAAACTTAATTAGCCCATGAGAAGCCAGTAAAAAGTAAGAAAGGACATGATTATTTAACAAAGAATACAGATGTTCTGTTAACATTAATATCACCGTCATGATATCCAACACTGAACCGGAGGCAGGGAGAAAGGGATGTCTCAATACCTTTAGCCGCCCCCTTATATGTGGGAGGGGCAGGGGCTCTCCTGGCCACCCCCCCCCCCTTATATGTTGGAGGGGCTAGCTCTCTGCTGGACACTCCTGTTGTGTGGGAGGGGCTGGGACTCTCCCAGCCACTCCCACTCATGTGTTGGAGGGGCTGGGGCCCTGCTGGACACTCCCATTGTGTGGGAGGGGCTGGGGCCCTGCTGGACACTCCCATTGTGTGGGAGGGGCTTGCTCTCTGCTGGACACTCCCATTGTGTGGGAGGGGCTGGGGCTCTGCTGGACACTCCCCCTTATGTACCAGTTCCCAGAGTACCATCTGGAGTGCCCTTCATAGCACTAGAGGGATTTCCCTCTCCATAATCTGCACAGCACAGGCAGGGCACCATCCGACTCTACTGCTTCTGTACAGCAGCAATAATACTTATTTATATGAAACTGTACAAAATGAAAAATAGGTTTTGGGGTTAATGTATGTGTTCAAGAGGGAAGCCATGGAGTTAACTGACAGTATCAGGTTTGGTTGCAACATTGTTAGGGACCAAATCAGCGTAGAATCCCTCAGCCCCCTAAACAAACATGGTACGTTCTTAATATCGGTAGACATGTCCCTGCAGTCCACACCCAAATCTACACCCTTGGTACCTGTCAAAGCACATGTGGCGCCCTAGACCAGCTTCAATGCCGGGGTCCCCTGTCTGAGACAAAGCGAAATTGGCTGGCTAAGTCAGCGCCACCTCAGAGGATGGTGCCCTAGGCCAGCTTCACCGCCGGCGCCCCCTGTCTGAGACAAAGTGAAATCAGCTGGCTAAGTCAGCGCCCCCTCAGAGGATGGCGCCCTAGGCGGCTGCCTCTGTCGCCTAATTTGTTGACCGGCACTGTTAATTGAGTTCTGCCAATTGGACTTTCTTAGTTATCAAGTCAATGCTACAGTTAAATTCATAGCTAAATCATGCAAACCGTATTGGCCGCTCATAACTACTCTGCTCATTGCATATGTAACACAAATATGGAGTGACTCATATTTTAAGGAGCCGGACAGACTGGGAAGGATATCATACTGGGGGAGACGGTAAATGACGGTCTTACGGTCTCCCCACACCTGCGTTACACAGGGGAATTCCTGCGTATAACTAATAGGCAGGAACATAAAGACCTCCTCTGTGATAAACACCCCCAATTCCAGGAGAGGAACATCGTGAGCTCTTTATCCCAAAAATACACCTCTCTGAAAAGCCCCCCGACCTCGTCCAAGATAACCGACTATGATACATATCAATCATTTAACGAGAAAAAAAACAACTATTTCCTACTCCAGGTGCCTGCTTCTCCAATTCGGGATTTTCCTCTGTTCTCTTTACAGTCGTGACCCACTACACATGAAGTCGTGGGTCTTGTTGATTAGACGGTGAGTCGGTAGAAGCTGGCGACCAGCACTGTGATCTGTAACCCGACACACACGCTGCCCACCGTGGAGCCGAATCGGTGCTGAAAGGCGAGACCTCCAGTGCGGACATTTCTGACTGTCATGAACCCCCCCCCCCCCCTTCAGAAAACTCTGTTTAAACTCTGTTAATCAGCTTTCTCCTGAGAAACCTTCTTCAGCAGCACATGGTCACAGAGAATATGCATATTATTATTATTATTATTAGGCTATTATTATGTTGTTGTTGTTGTAAACAGGAAAGAGCAGGTTTTATGTGAGCTGCCGGTGTTTCATTTAACAAAGAGCTGCACTTAGTAATGAGCGGTATATTTATATTTTTAGTATTTTCATCTCCGAACAACGATTTACTGCTTCAGCTATTTCAGTGCATACAAACCTAGCTGATCCACATGTGGACAGACCTTCCCTCATCGGGAACAGTAGTTGTACATTCATTAAAGTTCAAATTCTAACGCTCAGCAAACTTTTTTTCAGCCCCAAAGAATCTTTACAGACGACAAGTGAGACTTTCCCGACTTATTTTCGACGCGCTAATTTCAGAAACACGCGGACAAACTGTAAACTATGAGATGGGATGTCGTCATATAAAAGGTTAGAAGACTGAAAATAGCTTTTATCACCAAAAATACTTATGTGGCGGTTATTTATAACAAGCACAAATAAACACGCAATCGCATACTTGAAATTAAAATAATTATTAACAAATAGAAACAGACACACGAAGTCGATCTTACTGTGAATTTGCAGAAAGCGATGCAACGCTTCTATGGGAATATATTACTGCAGGCTTTTTTCTTCGTTAAATCCGTCTGTAAGGTTGTATTCCCCCCCCAAAAAAACAACACTTTGAACGCTATAAACTCACACGCTGTGATAACTTGTTTTTAAAGGGCTGGCATCAGCCACCAGCTTAACTGCAACCTGCGCTGCCGACCGAAAGGTGAGTTAAATCCGATCGACTCCTCCCCACCCTGTACACACACACACACACACACACACACAACTATCTGCGGATTAACGAGCTGAAACTCTCCGGCGCACCGGCGACCTGCTGTCCTCACATCACACGTAGCTCTCTATCCGTTCTGTCGTTTACTTGTTAATTTTTAAATATATTTTGAGCCAATTACTTGATCTTCGTCGCCTTCTCAGCTTCACCGCACTAATCAAACACACAACGCTCATTATTCCTCTTACAAATCTTCAACAAAAATTTAAGAAAACGTAAGCAAAATGCCTTTTAACTGCAAAACCCACAATAGCAAAATGTAAACATTGTGTGATATCTGATTTAACCTTGTACTACATCTGCAAATGTGTTTTTCGGTTTCTTTTCTATAAATTTAACAAAAAATTCTCTTAAATATTTTTGATATGACTGAAAAAATAGTGCATTAAAATAAAGCAATCCTCAGTTACTCCATCCATCCAGCTTGGCACTTATCCCAGTGGGCACACTACCCGGGCCACAAGGTGGCGCACTGACCACAAAGCATCCGGGGCAGTTACAGTATATCCATGCGCAAAATCATTTGTTTGGAATAACTTAAATTATGAATCTTCTTATATACACTGAATTTTAAAATTATAATATATAATAATGAATAATTGCAAGTTTACGGTCTATAATTGCTATATTATGATTTTTAAGGTCTTGAATAACATTTTCTCTTGTTCTGAGAAGCTAGCCAACCGACCACATGTTTAAATCAATAATTAAAAAAGCGCTTGCTTCGAGTACCTGTTAAATTCTGTAATAGAGTGGAAGATAACCTATAGGCGTTAATATCCACCTCCCCCCAGAAGGACTCTGATCACACTGCACCTCTAATAAGCAGTGAAGATTAGCGGGCAGTGGTACAGCATAAATCCCGCTCACCTGACAAAGGCAGCAGTCCGCTCGAGAGCGGCGCCCAGGACATCACCTGTCAGAATCAGAGGCATTGTGGGTAAGGATACTGTCCTAAGAGCGAGCCGTGTAATGTCAGGCCTTAGCTGTCAGTCTTAGAGGGGCGGCGTCCTGTCTTTGAATCACCAAGGTCAGAGGATGGTCGTTTGTACGACTGCCAAGCAGATCCCAGACATTACGTCACACACGTCAGTCACGGGCAGATGTTAACTGGCCGGCAGCATCTGTGAGGTTTAGCTCCATGTGGGAAGAGTTTTGTCACCTTTCAAAGCTGCACAGTTAATCTCTGAAACTGAAAAGCGGACATGGGTACCGACGACCTAGAAAACAGAAGCTGAAAATAAGTCATTTTCCTTCTAGTCATAAACATGAGGAGTGTAAGCTGGGTACATTCTCTGTGTGCAGAAACAGCCCGGTGAGTTTCCCCACCAGCGCCTCCTGTCTGGCATGAAGTGAAATTGCTTTGCTAAGTCGCCAGTGTCACTAATGAGTTGACTGACACTGTTCAGCAAAAACGCACTGGTATACGGCACAAATGGGAGCAGTCGTATTTGTTTAATTTCTTGAAACAGGTCTTAACAAACAGGACAAGCAAATAGAATGAAGGAGAAGGCAGAGTGCTTCTTCACATATACAGGTCAAATCAGACTTTAGCCCCGATCTATCAGTTCATCGTAAAAAACACAAGCCTGTGGAATACAGCGACACCTAGTGCTGAAAAGCCAGACCACATCCGAATTCAGCGTGGAGTTTTATCCAGTGACGTGGTGGGATTGGGGTCCTGTCATAAACCACCCATTACCACCCAAAATGCTCCAGGGCTCATGGATGGATGGATGACTGACCCTGTGCCTGGACCCCAAACTTCATTCTTGCCTGTACATACACTAGATGGACAAAAGTATTGAGACACACTTCTCAATCATTGAATGTGTTTCATTCAGACTCAGTGCCACAGGTGTATAAAATCAAGCACCAAGCCATGCAGTTCACAAACATTTGTGAAAGAACGGGTCGTTCTGAAGAGTTCAGTGGATTCAAGCGTCATAGTATTATAGGATGTCACCTTTGTTATACAGTATGTCAGTTTGTGAAATTTCTTCCCTACTAGATATTCTAGTCAGCTGTATGTGGTATTATTGCAATGTGGAAGCATTTAGGGGCAATACAAATCTGCAGCCCCAGTGGCCTAATGGATAAGGCACTGGCCTCCTAAGCCAGGGATTGTGGGTTCAAGTCCCATCTGGGGTGACAAGCTTTATGAGCCCTTCAGCAAGGCCCATGACCACCCAAAATGCTCCAGGGCTCATGGATGGATGGATGACTGACCCCAAACTTCATTCTTGCCTGTACATACACTAGA